TATATAATCTTCCCTATGGTAGTAAAGCAAGGTAAGTTCTAAGTATAATATAACTTTTTATAAATTACAAATATATTTTTATACATTATGTTTTTATTTTCTATATTTATTTTTAATTATAGGTAACTTATAAATAAACATTTTAAAGAACCATCAGTTGCTATTATTAAATCACTGACTGAAATCAGAATTATTCATTATTCTTATTGTAATATAATTTGGATATTTCTCATTATTAACTTTTACTAGGTATCTATTATTATCCTATAAATTATAATATAATAAGTTAATTAAATAGTTCATCATTAATGAGGCTTCAATTTGCAGTGTTGGGATTAGATAAGTACTTTTTTATCTAGGTAAAGATAAAGATAACAGGACAAAAATGTATCTAGATAAAGATAACMCAATTCATATTTATCTARATAAAGATGAAAGATAAATACATTATTATCTAGATAAATTTTTTTTAACACATTGAAATCCAAAACATTTTAAGAGTACACCTCACACGCTTCTTACAAAAATGTGTTTTATATCTTGTAAAAACATTCAAAAACATTTTTTTGATTGACGGAACTTCTCCATTCTTCTTGCAATTGGTTTTCAAGATGATTGGTCGCTCAACGAGCTCCGATTACATAATTTACTTTCATGTGTTTCTATAAGCATTCGCAATATCTGTGTTTGAGCACTTGTACGGTTGTATGTGGATCTATAATGTTTTTGCTGCGGTTAACTGTTTGGTAAAGAAAACTATGTTCTTTAAGAGTACTGTAAGCTCTCCATTCATCTGAATAAATTGTGGTATCAGGTTCTATTTCTTGGACAATTATGGGAATTAATGTTTCACCATCTCTTTAATCAACTATAAAATTAAGGCACTATAAAATATTATCTTGACGCAAAGCAGCTCATACCAAACATCCAAGGTCCTTGAACACGATTTCCTTAATTTCTGTTTTCAATATTTTATTTTATTCGTCAGTATCGTTTTCAAAATCAGAATAAGAACTTGAATCAGAATAGGAATTTATATTATCATTAGGTCTATGATTGCCAAACCGTAATTGTAACCGTAATCGTAACTGCCTCTTGCCTCTATTATACATTCATTTGCCTTGGAAAAGAGACTCACCAATATAATATACCTATTACGATGTATACTTTACCTCTCATTTTTCCTCGAAGTTTAAACTGTTCGACGACAACGTCTAGACACAAATTATACCAATCTGAGACTGTGATTTATTATTTTAATACATCATAGACATACATCTGTATAGCCCAAATGCTTGAACGCGATTAGGTATATTTATAGGTATCTTATATGTGTGTGGTATACAAAAGCTGGTTCTGACGCTGAGCACTCAACATAAAAAACAATGAGAGATGTGACCAACATGACTTAACCTAAGACATAACAATGACACCATCCTTATAAATTATGTAGCCAAATTGTAGTAACAAACAAATTTTAAGAACCTTATTTTATTATTAGAAAAACTTAAGTTAACGAATAAATTAAACAACAGTTTTATAAATACTAATCGAATTAGAAAAATAATTTTAGGAACCCTATGCTTTATAAAGGTACCTATAGGTACCTACATTTATTTTAACAAATATATATTTTAATAATAATAATTTATTAATTGAAAATAAAATACGAAATAAATTAAATTAAGTACACTGTGATTTACATACATGTAAATAAAAAAAAAAAAAAATACTTTTCTTCGTCTTTATAAATTATAAGTCATCTCTTTTTTTAATGAAAAAATACATTTATACGGCATCTGTAGGTAAATAGTGTGAATAAACGATAACGACCAAGATGTTTTTTTGTATTTGCATTTAATTTGTTCTTCATTGTAGATCATCTAGAAGTATTAAAACTTAAAAGTTATTCTGTAATTTGATCAGAAATAAGTTTTTTAGACATTCGTTCAAGATTCTGGAGAATATTATTGACATATTGTCTCATACCTACCTAGGTGTTTCTTTTAAATTCATGGCATATTTTATGATCTGAAATTTAAAACAACACTAAACTAGGTACGTAATTTAAAATAATGATTAGATAACATTGACCCAAGCGAGTTCTGGTCAAAATAAGTTAACAAAGATTTTGGGATAATGTTGGACAAAAATTAAAGTTTTTTTTCTTTCGTAAAACGTGTGTTTTCAGCACTGATAAGAAATTAAGAATAACGACAACACAATTAAAAAATATTTAAATATTAAATATTAATACCAGACATCACACTAGCAAATGCCGAGTAAAGCATATTAAGATGAAATTAATTTTCAGATATAAAGGGGGGGGGCAATGGGGACAATTGCCCAGCACCCTCACCGTTCAAAAAAAAGTATCTTATATTCCATTTWTTTGGGCCCGTCCAAATATATGCTCTTATATTCTTCTATTCTATTACAATTAGTACTGCAGATTTTACGATAACACTATAGTCAACAATTTATATATTTTTAAATTAACTACGCCGTAATACAAGGGGTTTACCACCACTCAAGGCTTGCTGTTGATTGTCGCTACGTGTGCCATCGTACCATTCATTACAAAATCATTTAGTTTAATGCCTGATGTTAACAAGCTTAACTCCAGAAAACAGGGTTAWTTCAAAGCATAAGTGATGGAACTTTTTAACTCAATGCTTGATARTCAAGAGGATTTTGATATGATCAATCCAAGAGGTCCTCTCGTTGTGAATACTGCTTACAGTAGCAGTTCATCTGGACCACCCTCCAACATCAGTGATAACACTTTAGCGTCATATGCGATACCATCTTCAAATGGACATGTAAATTTTGGACCTCCAAATATAGAAGACCAGCAACAACAATTCCGAAATCAACACCAAAATCAATCGAATTTTCAGTATGATACATACATGTAAAATGTATCATGATAAATTAATTAACATATTATACCTACCTAATGTTGCTATACAAAATAATGTATTTTAAAAAAGAAGTACAAAAAATAAATAAACTATAAAACTTACCTTATTGTTATCAATAATCTTTCCTCAGCTGGAATACTTCTCCTAAAGTTATAGATTGTATTCAACTTCTTTATTCTGTCTTCAAATAGACTCAAAAGCTCATTAAAATTGTAATATTCATTCGGCAGTAGTTCTAAAAAATTTTCTGGATCGTTTCTTAGTTCATGAATAAAACCAGAAATATTTCTCTTTTGGTTGATTGGGTGAACCCAAAATCTATTTTGTTTATCATTTTCCAATTCCAAAAACTCCGAAAATTGCCACAACAAAATATTCACATCTACTTCTTTATCCATGTTTGGAGTAGGGAAACAAACTAAACACTTATTAAAACTTGTAAGCTTATTAACTTATTAACACTTGTAAATCTTGGTAAACACTTTATTACTACAACTGATGATAATCATGTACTGAAATAATCTTGTTGTAGCAAAACAATTTCAAAATTTTGTCACAGTCAGTGCGTTTCCTTTTTATTTTCGCATCATATATTTTACAACAAAATGTTGCATTGAGCTACGAAATGTTGCAGCCGGTGCGTTTCCWGCTTAAGAGTTATCGCGCATTTGTTCACATTTGTTCTCGTATCTCATACGAAACTTTAGCTAACTGTGGACACTACACTTTTTGCATTTTTTCATATTTTATAAAATTATATTTAAGTAAACGAGTTTTAGATTTATGTCAATCGAATTATCAAATAAATTGTAAATTACGCTGATGCAACGCCGTACAATTACAGTGATAAATGATAATATAGTATAACGGTAATTTCGTATTTGGTATTTGGTTCTAATTTATATTATCTGCTGATTAAGGTAATATTATATTGCATATATTTTATGCAATTTAAAGAACTATAAAACATTAACCCTGTTAATAAATCAAGTTATTAATAAGAAGAACCTTGTAATGCTCATAGTTACACATTTTTGAATCGAAATTTTATTGATTTGTGTTCAAACTAATTATAAAATCTCTAAAAAATAAGTTATTTTTTTGTAAATTATGATTTATTTTAATCAATAATTTATAATTACTAGTACGAATACATCGTTATCATTCATAAGTACAAATCGGTCAAAATACCTATTATACTTGCATTTCTACCGACCATCATGACCACTGCTATAAAAATATATTTTTTATTCCAGAAAT